ATCTACTTCATAGCTGCTAGGATAGCTGCACCTGGAAATATAATAGTGTTTAAATATCACTAGCCAGGCCTGCTGGCCCTTAATATACCCATCTTTTCTTTCTACCCCTTCCTATCCCACCCTCTTGCTGTCAGACCCCTAACTACACCAAGTGTCACTTTTTCTTTGTAGTAGGTGTTCCAGTTGTTCATAGAGCTATCAGGATATATACATCAAGTCTAGAGCACATAACCCCTCTATTGTTCCATAACCCACTCCTTTCGCGAATCGTTATAGTAAGGCAGATAAATTGCATTGGATATTTGTGTATGAATATCGGGAAACAAAATGTCACTTCAGAAACTGCTATACTTTCCAAAAAATAGAGGACTTATTTCTGGCATGAGATTAGAAATAACTCGTTCAGCTGTAAGTAATTTAAGTAATAAGCTTTTCTGATCTATCTCCTTAGCAAATTAAACATTACTCTATTGGCAGAGCAATTAAGAGAAGATATTTATTAAAGTAGATAAAAGACAATATAGTTTATTCTCAGAAATATTAAAAAAGAGTGTGATTCCATTAGCCAGCCACCTAACCACTAGGCTAAAAGCTCAGCAATTGACTACTTTTCAAGTAGTCAACCTGTTAGGTGGTAGATATATAAGGTGGTCCTATCTCATACTAGGAACCACAATCTTATATTATTATATTTAATAATACTATTCTCTCTAAGTTATACTTAGAAGCTAGATAATATAGATATATTACTTTTTTAGTAATTAATATAAAATAGCTATATATTTCTAAGACTTTTAAAAGCTCTAAGTATATTTAGCTCTCTACTAATAAAATATTTATATTTTAATTAAGTTAGAATTTTATTAACTCTCTTTTAGAATTACTTATAGTATAGAATAGAAGCATAACAGATATATTATCTATTATAGTAAGATTATAAAGATTAAAAGAGCTATCTGTAGTATGCAAGACTTTGCTTTATATATAGAAAAGTAATAGTATAGATCCAGAGACAATACAGATGTGAGCTACAGTCTATATAGCAATAGGAGATTATTGCCCGAGCCGGTTATATAGAGCAACTTATTATTCAGGATAATAGAAGACTGACTTAGCAGAATACTACTAAGGACTGGTAGAAAAACAGCAAGAGAGAATAGAATAGTCTCTAGCTATAGCCTATAAAATAGAGAAGAGCAATAACAGAATCCTATTTTCTCTTCTAGCCACTATACAGCTGGAGGCGCGCTGAGATTAAGAAGGGAGAATCAGGATAATAAGTATATAGAGCTAAGTATAAAAATCAGCCACTTCAGTGCTACTATTGATAAAGATCAGCCATGGCATAAAATTCCTAAATAGGCTAGCATGGAATTCCCCCCTGCCTATTTAGGAATTTCGTGCCATCACATCCGCTGCGAGTCGTCAACTTCAAACACCTCCCATAATCCACACAAAAATCATAAAAATATTCGGAGACCAGAATAGGATAGCCGGTCGCTGCCGCTATGCATGGAGATACTGTTGTGCTCGCTAGCCGTCTCGTTGTCGTGTGCTTCGTGCCGTGAACGGGCTCAATAGAGTGCACCCCCATAGCCGAAAGCGGTGGGGGGGACTGTAAGGCACTAATAGGTCCTGCCTTCCTGGGACAGAGTGAGGTGGAAATAGCTACTGGAGATCACTTAAAAAAGGCACGACAAAGCTTTATTCAAAATCTTTAGTCGCTTGAAAACCCTGATATATGTGTCTTCTAGAAATAGCAGGCACTATTCATTTTCTTAGACTATAGAGGATACGGGTGTTCAATGAAAATTGCAACAAAGAGAGCCCCATAACGGTCCCTTGGCGGCCAATTATATTAGCGCTAATATACCTAGCAGGCTTTATAGTCTGACCCTTTCTATCGTACCTGGACTAGGGGAGATAGTTTGCGACACCCTTTGTCTTTATAATTGAGCTTACAAAAACGATATTTTAGGGTCAGAAATATGTTCTTGCTGGTATCGCGGGTCAGACTGGTATAGTTTAGGGAGTGCTACACGCTACACAACAGATCTCTATAGAGAGAAGAGCTTGTGCATTCACTATGGAGCGGAGCGAACCGGGGAGGGAAAGGAAGAGAGAGGAAGCAGAAATCTAACTGGCTATATAGTTCTAACTCCATAGGGGGCTACAGGGACCGCCTGGTCTCACAAACTCGGTTCGTTATCGACAAGCTAGAAGGTAGAATTTATAATTTCTCATCTCAAAGTGGAAGTCGTAAAAGCTATAGCGAGTGACACATCATTATTTCTGCCTAACAGAACTGTCACCTGCTTCGTGCATGCAACATATTCCACTCCATCGTGTTCAAAATAAACTGATTCGCATCCACGTCCATGCCCCTCGGCCCAGGTATATCAGGATATCCCCACGGTCCCAAACTCGTAGGCACCTGCTCGCCAGCGCCATACGCCATGCCTGGCACATTGAAATCCATCTGCATAGGCATTGACAGGTTATCCACGTTGACACCCAGGGAACCACCAGGCTGCACTTCGTCTGCATCCTGTCCGAAATTCGACGTCATCTGCATCACTTTGTTCCGTATATCCGACACAATCCGTGGTGGCAGCAGGGGCCTCTCCTGTTGTCTGGCTACCTGTTCACGCGCCTCCCAGGCCTGAGAGACAATCCGAGAGAAGACGATAAAAAAGGGGCGGTCGTCCTCCTTGGCATCCATGATGCGGACCTCATAGTTGTTGCTCATGGCCTCCCACGCCTGGTCTGCATGCTCCTCGACGGGCCTCTTCTTCAAATCCTGCAGAAGGTGAATATACGCGGGGAAGGGGAAGTGGAAGTGAACAAGCCACAGGTATCCTTTGGTGAGAGGCGACGTCATGAGGTTGGTGTCGCACTCCAGCATACGCAGCGCGTGGAAAATACCGACGTTGCGCCGTGTATCTGTCTGCTGCGTGGAGGCCGTCGAGTATTGGGAGTAGTGTTGCAAGAGACGAATCTTGGCTAGGTAACCCCGCGTGGTCCAGATCGTCATGAAGTGCAGTGGGTTCTCTGGATTGCACAATGCCAAGTATTTCTCCTCTATCTTCTTCTCCAACGCCAGAAGCTGCTCCGCCTCATCTATAGTGGTAGATCGAGGGGCGATCGTGTTCAAAAAAGGATTGGTGAAATCGAGGTGGAAGGCGCTGCGACGGACAAAGTCGGCGAGCTCACTGCGGATAATAGCAAAGAGCATCTCTGTTGGTCTGTTGTTTGCTGCGGGTGGGGCTTTAATCTCCGGCTGAAGCTCGAAATCACTCACGTTGAGCGGAACGCGGCAGTCCCAGGTCGGAGCCAGCGACGCGGTCTTATAATCGGACATTTCGCAGATACGGTTATCAAAGATTATGAGCGACCACCACAGTCTTCGACGCATCTCTGCTTCTAGAGCAGAACATTTACCGTACATTAATTCATTATGAATACCTATCCGCTGTGCGATTCGTATAGCAACGCTGAGCATGGATGAGAGAGACATAGGGTCTGTGTTATGTCTGATCGACACCTGCAAAAATCAGTGAGTGCGGATAGATAATTTTTACATACTTACTAGATACAGATACAATGCGGTCAAGCTCTCCCGGTCACTAGAGCGTAAAATACAACAATTCCGTAACGCTTGCTGGCATGCAGACTGATAGGCCGTCAAGAGATCCTTTTTGGGAGATCCGAACAAGGCACTGCATTTATCTTCTGTGAGACTTAGAATGGAGACACAGTATATACTGAACATCAATGCCTCCATTGTAGGATTGACATTGGCGATATCACTAGCAGCATCGATGAGACGTGTTTGGAGAGTGGGTGTATGCGTGACTTTTAAAAGAGGATTAATGTTGTCCAAGTAGATTTGCCAGAGCCTGAAGATCTGTACATGGGTCGGATGCGAAGCAGAAAGGTCGTCAACATTCCCTACCGGGGAACCGAATAAAAGGTGGTCGTTACTTTTGCCTCGAAACATATGGTTCCATGCCTTCTTGATCACGGCGTGGCGCATATCATCGTTCTCGTGCAGGAACCCGGTATCGTTTTCATCGTCTTCACCGTCATTTCCGTCATTGTCCTTGGGATCTACAGTCTTTCCCAATTGTCAGTGAGCCTCACAATCACTTGCAGAGTCGGTGATACCTTTTGACTCATGGCATGCCAAAGATTCCTACTTGTGATTAGCCATCTCGAAGATGCACGGGTGTCTTCAAAAGAACAGGATAGAGTCTTGTACCATGATTTAGACCCGACAGTTTTCTTTTCTTTCAACAGACGAGAACCTGTATCAGGAATAGTATCTTCCGACTGAACAATCTCTGGAAGTTCATCTCGCTTATCCTCGCTAGGAGACCTACGCCCTGTAGTAGGCGTGTGGAGAGGTTCGAACTTGATGTTATGCTGGTGGAGCAGGCTCTCATAGTGTCGTAGGCGGGCCAGCAGCTCTCTCTCGGGAAACCTCCGGTGTCTCTGGCGGGTTGCTTGCTCGCACTGCTCGCCAGCACGTACACAGTTGGCGCAAGGGAATGTACGATCACACTTGATCTTGCGTTGCTGGCACAGCACGCAGGCCAGCACGCGCCGGCCCTTGACAGTAACTGACTGTTCAGATGGAGAGATCGGTGTCGCCATTGCATGAGACTATCGATCCTGTTGTGGCAGAAACGTTGTTAATAGAGACCGGATCTCGAAGCCCGGGTTGATTGGGGAAAGAAGGAAGGGGAAGAGGACGGGAACGTAGGGTTTTATAAGATCCGAAACCCACCACTTGCTAACCCTCGCGCTTTCTAACCCCCGTTCACTTTGTTGATCAACCTTCGCAAAACCCGAAATCACCGACCATGTTTTGCCCCTTAGGCTCCTTTAAATATGGACGGTTTCCTCATTATTCATTCTGCTCTGGAAAATTACATTTCGTGCATTGCTAACCAATCAATCGCGTCTTGGTTAGTGGAGCTACGAATACTGCAATCGCCATGCCTCCGCCACTCACTTCCACCTCTGACAGCACCAAATCGGCTACGATTGATGCTCCAGAGTTGATGAATAAGCATAGCGAGACAGCTACCAATGCATCAGTCAAAGACGAAGGACCAGCCAAGCCTGGAGGCCCTCCAGGTCCGTCGGGCCCGCCCGAGAACCAGTCTACCCTTAGAGTTGTCTGTCTGATCGTCTCGGCTTTCGTTGCTATGTTCCTGGTCGCGCTGGACAGAACAATCATCTCGACGGTATGATCATCCTACATTAAAGTCAATCCAATTCTAGTGCTAATTTATACTCGATTGATAGGCCATACCCAAAATCACCGATGAATTCAATTCCTTCAACGACGTTGGCTGGTACGGAAGCGCCTACTTGTTGACATGCTGCGCATTCCAACTCTTGTTTGGCAAGTTGTACAAGCTCTTTTCCGTCAGAATCGTCTTCCTTGCCAGTATTCTAGTCTTTGAGGTTGCCTCTGCTATCTGTGGAGCGGCTCCGAATTCAGTCGCCTTTATAGTCGGAAGAGCGATCTGTGGAGTCGGCGCTGCTGGTATCCTCGCTGGAACTGTACGTTCAGTCTATCCCCCTGCCCTTTATACGAATTACTGACAGATGTGTCTTAGATAATGTGCATCATCCATTCCGTGCCTCTCCAGAAGCGTCCACAAATTCAGGGACTGTTCGGCGCCCTTTTCGGCATTGCCTCTGTCGTGGGTCCATTGATTGGCGGCGCCTTTACATCCAACGTGACATGGAGATGGTGCTTTTATATCAATCTGCCAATTGGTGGCGCCGCCATGGTCTTCATTGCCTTCTGTCTCAAGGTCCCCAAGCAAGATACAGCAAAGGTCTCCTGGGCCGAGAAGTTGCTACAACTGGATTTCTTTGGCACTACATTTCTGGTGTCTGGCGTGGTCTGTCTCATATTGGCACTTCAGTGGGGCGGCCAGACGTATCCTGTAAGTGATGTGCACTATTATTTTCAGCCACAACTGACAGTATGCAGTGGGACAGTGGCCGCATCGTGGCTTGCTTGGTTCTCATGGGCGTCTTACTTCTTTCATTTGTCGCCGTCCAGGTCTTCCTTCCAAAGACAGCAACACTTCCAGTACGCATCTTTTCGCAGCGCAGCATCATTTCAGGGTTCTGGCAGACACTCTGCGTCGGCTCTGGAAACTATATATTTGGTAATAAGACCACACTATCCAGCACTGTCCCCTGTTACTGACTCCAATCACAGTGTACTTCCTCCTAATCTGGTTCCAATCCATTAAGGGCAGTTCCGCCGTGGAATCCGGCATCCGCCTGCTACCTATGATGATATCAATGGTTGTGGGCTCAATCAGTGGTGGAATCACAAACTCCAAGATCGGATACTACACTCCACTAGCGATCATCGGGTCCTGCATCATGTCCGTCGGAGCCGGTCTCCTCACCACCTTCCAGGTAGACACCGGCGAGGGAAAGTGGATCGGCTATCAGATTGTCTACGGACTTGGTCTGGGCTTATGTTTCCAAGTTCCCAATCTCGCAGCGCAGACCGTCCTTCCGAAGCCCGACGTGCCATCTGGACTAGCACTGATGCTGTTCGGTCAGCTGATCGGGGCAGCCGTCTTTGTCTCCGTTGGGGAGAATATCCTGGCTAATCAACTCGTGAAGAGACTTTCCGGGCTGCCGGGGTTCAACGCCCGTCTTGTTACTTCCGGGGGTGTCACCAAGCTGCTGAATAAAATGCCTGCGGATCTGCACGACACGGTCCTTCGCTCTTACAATGAAGCGCTACAGAATGTGTTTCAGGTCGGTTTGATTATCTCATGTCTGACACTACTGGGTGCGGCTACTCTGGAGTGGAAGAGTATCAAGAAGGGACAGCCAAAGCCCGATGCCGAGAATAATGGGCTGGCTGGAGAGGAGAAGACCGCAGAAGCAGCAGGTGGTAAATAGCATGAACCAGGGATTTTGTCTTTCTTGACTGCTTAATGTTGAGAGCTAGTTTGGAGATACATATATATGTGCGCCAATTCATATGGCAAATTTGATACGACTGTAGGCAGTTCTATTCCAACAAATTACTCATTTGTATGACTGGTATCCCGGTGGTGAGCGATATATATTTGTTAGGACAACGTAGATCGTTCGCATAAATTCCGCTCTTAGGCTATCTTCCCTTCACTACTGACTGTAAAGAGGGCCGACGCCCTTCTTCCCCAAGAACAACGCTTGACCCAGAATACAGTTGGAATAGCTCTAAGAATGGTTCAAAATGTTTCCCAGGTCAATTTCCTGTAAATGCAGCTTAGATATCTGTGTTCTACACACCCTGGTATGCCTAATCCCAATCGCCGTCTAACAAATCTGCAACCTTCTTTCCGGCCAGAATATCCGCATGAATCTCCTCAATTGTCCACATCTTAAACTTATGGCCCGGAGGAAAGTTGGTATTGTCAAAATCCGTCCCCAAAACCAAATGCGAAAACGCCTGCCCGTACTTCTCATAGACATACGCCTCGGGGTCGTGCTGGAACAACCACTTGGGGAACCGGACCTTGACTTTCTCAGGGTCCTTCTTCAGGACCTCATCCATGTCCACAGCACCGAGGTTCTCCGAATTGACAAATGACATCTTCTGCACACAGCTTACCCTCTGGTATCGGAGCAGATTGTAGATGCGGGCGCCCAGAGGTGCACCACCAGGCGCGCCCCCAGAACACGCGAGTTGCAAGCAGGCCGCCAGCGTTACGGCATCTTCTATGGCAAGTGTTCCGCCACTGATAGAGGCAGGCACCGTGGTATGTGCGGCATCCCCGACCTGCACCACCCGTCCGCCCTTGGATGTCCACCCTTGGCGAAGGTTCCGCCACAGCAATGGCCAGTGCACCGTTGCGCGCTTCGGCGTGTTGCGGATCAGCCCTTCAATCGCCGGATCCCAGTCCGAAACACGGTGAAGCACCGCCAAAACCTCCTCTGAGTCCACGTCCGGGTCCCACGACTCGATTGGCTCATCCCCTCCGGGCTGGAGGAACTTGTCCCGCGGGGTGAGCCCGTAGGCCACAAAGTCCGGCGAGATGAAAAGACCCAGGTGCATGCCGGGCCCAATCCAGAACTCATGATTTGAGCCACCCTGCGCCACGAGCTCACCCCAGCGCGCTTTGAACGCAGGGTCCCGAAGGGCCAGCTCCGTCGGCAACGCCGCGCGATACACGGACATGCCACTCGATCGCGTGGGAACGTGATCGCCCGTGATAAGAAGGTCGGAGCGCGTCTTGAACGCATCGGCCGCGACGATAAGTTGTGCGACGCGGATGCTACCATCCCCCGTGACTACACCCGCCACGCCAGCCGCCTCGTCCTCGAAGTAGCGTTCGACGCGCTTGCCGTATTCGACTTTTAGGCCGACGCGGGCGACCTGGCGCAGCAGCATGCGGTAGAACTTCCGGCGGATCTGATGTGGGGCCACGTATGGCAGGCGTTCTCGCTGGGCGAGATGCTCTGGGTTGTTGTATCCCAGAGTGGTTGGGCCGAGGATCAAGTCGCCGTTGTGGCGCCGGTAGTACATCACACTGTCCGATTGGTCTTCTTCGAGATCTCGACAGATATCGGGCCAGTGGCGGAGGGTGCTGATGGCCGAAGGCCCGATGACGATGATATCTCCTGTAGATCGCGCATGATCAGTCATATGGCTCGGTAATGGATTCAGATCAACAACGAACCAGTATAGACAGGACCTTGGCTTCGTTCCAGGATTCCCACCACATTGTGTCCCTTTCTCCAGCATTCGAGTGCCGTGATCAATCCAGCTAGCCCTGCCCCGACGATCAGCACATCGGGGTGCGTATCTGGGGATCGTGTGGGCAGCTCGCTCGGGGTTGACGACCACCTTAGGGGATCGAATTCATCTTTGTCCCCGTGCGAAAGATACTCATTTGACACCATTCTGTATACCTGATTTGATTATGATTTCCAATTACAGGATGAGGCCGTCTGTGAGGAACATTACAAACCATATATGTGTATGGCCTTGCTTACGGGCGCAAATGGGCTGTCCGGGGGCCCGGGAAATCCCATTTTCGGGACTCGTCCATATCAAACCAGCTTGTCTTACTTCCTGGTACGAGATTCTTTTAGCACTAGCCGGGCTCTCGGAGGTCTTTGTGGCTGCACCCCGGGACATTTATTTCTACTTCGGGAAATCTCAACATCCCGGCTTCATAGCACTTTTGTAGGTGATTTATATCCCGAAAGCTCGTAAAAGGAAGAGTATTAGGTTCATAATATTAAATAAAGGAATATCATTAGTAGCTATCACTTATGAATCCTGGTTCGTTTCGTTTGAGGATATACATACTCTGTAAAGAAACATATTTATCAACTTACCCCTGGCGAACTTCCTGAGGTTGGCGAGCTTATAGATCTTCGTGTTGTAGTTGCAGGTGGTAATGAACACAATCCCTTTTCCTGAAATACCACCTTATTCCTCAAATGTAAATACTCAAGGATAAGGATCAAGATAGCCCCAGTAGACTGTTAAACATTTGACCAAATAATTAAAGCACGCCGTGCCCTTATTTCCCTTGCACTTTCCCTTTCAGGAGGCTAGGCAATACGTAGAATTCCTGTCTTCTTTTATTCCGATGGTGAGCTTCTAGCATACATACATACATTGATTGTCTTTCAGCGATTCGGCTATATTAGCAGTGCTCCCCGGAGACCCTAACCATCGCGGAACTGAAAAGAGCATGTCGAACTTAACATAACTAGACCTGGTTCCTCAATCCGAACCTGGCATGATCACAATGAAGCAGACTTGGTCTCCCCGTGTACCCAAACAGTGAGCATTTTGCGGTAATAGAACCCTATGGACCGTAGTCTCTCGGTAGCTAGCAGTTTACAATGAACGCGAGAACCTTTTGTTAAGACAGTAAGTCTCCTTGGGCGAGAGACCGACTGATCTTGTGCCGATGACTCCATCACAGCCATTGTTTATTCCCAAAGTGACTGACAAAAGTTCCACCGGAGGTTTCCACGGTCGCTTTGTCAATGACCTCCACCTGCATCCTCACACTCTCCTCCATGGTGATCGGACCTGTGAAGTGTGGCGCGTACGTTTTCAATTTGCTGACCAATTTCTGCCTTCCCTCTGCCTCTTCTACCGTAGGTGTCGTGTCCGGCTTCGACACGACGCCGGGACTAATCGCCAGGAAAAGGATCCCTTCCGTAGGCCCAAGCGCTGCGTGGTACTTGGCCATGAGAAGGTTGGCTGCAGCCTTGGAAATTGAATATGGGGTCGCGGTGTCAAGTGCAAAGCGACTGACGAAGTCAATATCTGCTAACAGAGACGAGACAACAATGACTTTCTTTTGACACCCCTTTCGAATCAGTGGTAGGAAGGCATTGATTGTGTGTGCAACCCCTACGACATTTGTTCTGCATGAATCTAAGATGTTCTCCTCCAAGACCTCGGGAGACAGATCGACAATGGAGTTGAAAGCACTGCTTACGGTTAATATCGCAGCGTTGTTGATCAGGATGTCTAAACTTCCGCCGGTGATGTTGCCGACTTGCTCGGCAACGGTCCGAAGGGATTTGGCGTCGGTGATGTCGGCACAGACAAGGTATATATTGGTCAGGTTGTCGGTGACCAGACGTTTTTGGGTAGCGGATTTATTGCGGACCAGACCAATCACAATATTTTCTGGATTCGAGGAGAGGTGCTTGAGCCAGGTGTAGCCCAGGCCTCGACTTGCGCCGGTGATGAGATAGGAGGGCATAGTGTTGGCCTGGATGAACATTGAATGACAAGCGCCAGAGATACATATTTATATTATTCTTGACCCTCTCATGTATGATTTCTGCATTAATTCCCATATTGGTTTATCTCATTGGGTGGTCGGGCAATTGTTATCGGGGATTCGAAGCATACCGAGGCCCGGTCTTACTCCCAACAGTGATTGGATGAAGCCAATGTTGGGCATATAAGTAAACACCCCGACTCCCCGGTCATTGGATGAGACTCAAACTATACCTGGCAAGCCTTGGCCCACTAGTTTGATTATGTACGAGGTTAGATGCAGCTGAAGGGTATATAAGCCGCTCAGACCAAGACACTACATCCTGCCTTCAAATCCTTGAAAATGGATCTATTTTACACAGATGATAATTTCCGATCACCAGTGAAGACTGTGCTCACGGGCCTTGTTGCGACCGTGGTCACCTTCTTGGCTTATATTGTCTTCCTATCATATACCCCAAGTGTCGACAAGAAGTCGCCTGAATTCACACCCAATACTGTCCCCCTCGTCGGCTCCTGGGGTTTCTTCACCCAAAAGTGGTAAGAATTCATCCTGAGAAGTGAGGGCGCTAATTGCAGCATGTAGGGCCTTCTGGAAAGACTGCGTGGCCAAGTCCAAAACAGGCCACTTCAGCTTCTGGCTAGGGAAGAACCACGTCGTGGGGGTATCTGGCGCAGCAGCCCGCAAGATCTTTCTCGATAATCATGACTTCGATTTCGTGCGCGGAGCTGCTCTCGTTGACCATGGACCGGACTTTGTTCCTCCTCTTCACGAGATCTTCCACAACAACTATCAAAACGGCAGAAGCTACTTCCAGCGCCGTTTGGTTGACCTGCAAAAGTCGGAGCAGCTAGCCAAGCGTCTGCCCGGCGTGACGAGAGATGCTCGAATGGCCTTTGAGGCCCTTGGCAAGAACCCCTCTGGCGTCATGGACCCGACCGATGTGTGCTATCGGCTGGTGGTACAGCAGGCTTGTCGCGTCGTGTGCAGCGAGGAGATCTCTGACAATCCAAAGCTTCTCGAAAAGTGCCAGAACGCCCTGTCACTGCTGATGCATACCAGCAGTATACACACAGTTGCGCTTCCGTATCTGCCCTCGATTGCCAAGATGAAGCGCCGGTGGGGAAGATACGGGCTGAGCAGCATTGTAACCCCGATCGTAAAGCGACGGTTGCGGAAAGGCGCCCCCCGCAGGGACGATGTTGTTCAGCATATGGTTGATAGTGGTGATTCGCAAGAGTGGATGGTCAACTTCTTTATCAGCATCCTGTTCATTGCCTCCGCTAATGCGGGTTATCTGTGCGGCGCTATGCTGAACATTGTCGCTCACCACACAGAATGGCAAGCCAAGATATACAGCGAGATCAGAGCCGTCGCCGAGGCGCATTCCAAGAATCCTAACGCGCCATTCGTGGACCAACTCGACTGGATCCCACTGGAGGCGTGGGAGACCTTATTCCCTTCGATTGACCTCTGTTTCAAAGAGGCCATTCGCATGTGGGTGGCGTTCCCAATGATCCGTCTCAACATGGCTCCGCACTCGGTCCCGATCCCCGACACTAACGAGGTCATTCCCGTCGGCACATTCGCCGCGTACAACACCACCGAAGTCCACTTCAATCCAGAGCTGTACCCAGATCCACACAAGTACGATCCCGATCGGTTCCGCGAAGGTCGTGAGGAATTCAAGAAAGAGGCTTATAGCTGTAAGTTGCGGCTCAAACTTTCCAATTTGTAATCATACTACATACTAAGATTAACGGGATGTAGTTGTCGGTTGGGGTCAAGGTCGGCACCCCTGCATGGGCATGCGCTGGGCCAAGATACAGCTAAATATCATTCTCGCGTACGCTCTTGCGATGTACGAGTGGAGCGGATGTGATGAAAATGGACAGCCTAGCACTCACTTTGACCGGAAGACCGATCTGAATGCTGCGGGCCTGAGCTTACCTGTTGGACTGTTTTGCAAGTATGTTCCTAGGAGCAAGGCTTGAGGGTTGGTGCAGACTACGCTGGGAAGAAGTTTTATATATATCAACAACATATGTACTTTTCCGAATAAATGGTAGGTAGATATATTGAATTAAACAATCTTCTTGCAAACGCGCAAACACATAAACATACAGAAAACATACACATGTGGTATGAGCAAAAGTGCAGTGTCATTAGTAAGTAAGCCTACACCACCAACCCAATCGTCAAGAAACTGCGATCCTAAGCCAACCTCTCCTTCAGCATCATCAACTCATCCACATCCCAATTTGCCCAGACATACCTCCTATTCAAAAAAACCACTCTCTGGGCCCGCTAACCACACCGCAAAGTGCGCGGGGAAATTGATATCCTCCCACACACGCGCATCCTCCGCATAATGTTCCGCCACAGACGGGGTATAGAACATACCGGGATGGAACGAGAACACCCGTATCGCTTCACTGTCTCTCTCCCAAGCAAAATGCTGCATCACCTGCGTGACAGCTGCCTTTCTCGGCCCATACCCAACTCGAAACGGACTCCTCGTCTGCGCCGCCGCGGACGAAACATTGATGATCATCTTCATCCCCGCCGCTGGTAACGGGGTCGCCAGGTATGCGTTGGTGAGATTGAATGCCGCGATGACGTTCACGCCGAATGCCTCCTGCATTTCCTCCGCGCTTACCTCGGTCGCTTTCACCTGCCCGGTGTACGACCGCCGCGCAGAGCACTGGCACATCGATCATGGCCAGCTCCTGCAGGATATCTGTCATGCGCGTGCTGTCTGTGATTGAGGCTTGGTAGGTTAGGATTTGGGTGGAGGGGTATGCTGCTTCGAGCTCTGCTTTGGCTTGCGCCTGGGGCCCTCGGGAACGGGAGATGATTGCGATGCGCGCGACGGCTTGCGCGAAGGCTTTGCAGATGCTGTGGCCGACGCCTGAAGAGTCGCCAGTGACGAGGATGGTCTTGCCGGCGCCGTTAAAGCCATGGTGGTTGAAGATGCGGTCGTAGATTTGGAAGTGGTAGGTCCGGGTTGGACGGGGGAAGGACTCGAATTTCGACATGTCTTTCTTCTTGGTCTGGCAGGTGGAAATGCTAGATCTACCAAACTGTCTTCAGAAGAGATGTATAGTACTGTTGTGGTGTCCTGACCCCAGGTAACTATACTCGGGCTAACTATGAGCCCGGATGGGATGGCTAGTATTTGTCCCGATTCAGCTCTTGCCAATTTCCGGGGGTTTTGGGAGTTTGGAAGGGTCAACAAACGAAGTATATGGCTGACCGTGAGGCTTGAAGTCTCTCCGAAACACCTGGGGATCAACGAGAACGGTGAAAGCCGGTACCGGTGATACTACACTACAGACTGCATTTTCTTCACCACCCGGCTCGAGAATACGGAGGTTCGACGTTGGCTCCTACTTTGAAAATAATATATACGACCCAAGAACAACAGTCATGGCCAGAGCAGATTTCGACAGAAGACCCGAGACTCCCTGGGAATCACTGGGAAACTCCAAGCCCTCACGCACAGCTCCATCGTTAATCCACTCCTCGATCCAGCCAATTGTCATTCTATATGTGCTGTTAGTGGTGACTGAACTATTCTCCTCGGCTGCAATATACTGGCTCCGTTTTGTATCTGCAAAGTTCTCGTGGTCCCCGAACAAATGCTCTTTATAGTACGGATCCTCCTTCATCATCTTGTAGTGTTCGACGCTCTCAAACACCACCTGACTGAAGCAATCATAGTCGGTAATATTTGACATTTGGCGATCGTAAATTCGGTTCATCATGAGACGAGTTTGCGTGGGATTGTGAATCTATAACTTTCAGTCCCCATCCAACTCTATAAGCCCTAAGAGGGTTGGTTATTGGTTACATACCACCGTCCACCGTTTGACACCGTATTTGACCATGAGATCCTTCGTCAAAGGCGCCGAGACCTGGATCATATGCCGACGATATGCTTCCTCGCTCATCCCGGGCTTTCGATAGCCCAGGATGGTCAGGCAGAGATACCGGCTGGGAGGGAGGCCCTCTGATTCTGTTACAGTTGTTGTGGTAGCCATTTGTGGTCGTACGACTCTTACAATGCCTTTGCAAATAAATGTACAATATAAAATAACCCGAATATATAGATGGTTCGGTGTATTCGTGTAGTTCGGGTTCCGGGTCTCACTGCCCGCGTTCCCAATTTCCCGACAAGGGTTGCTTGATAGTATATAGATCTCGAACGAAATTGAACGTACTGTTCATCACAAACCACAAGAAACAGAAAAGACAACATGGGGTCCACCGAAACTGGCACATCGAGCCCGCAGATTGGCTTGTCGAGCGAGCACGTCGGCATCCTGCGCGACACGCCAGTAGACAACGCTTCTATCCAGGAGGCTAACCGTCTCCTGCAAAAGAACCACGAAGCATGGCACATGTTCTTCCGCGACCGGGCGGGCCACAACCACATCGCACACTCTATCCTCACCTGTCTAGCCCTGGGTGGCGCGCCCGAAGATATCCAGCGCGCCTACGATGACGGCGTGGGCATCCAGCGGCCAATCCCCGAAGTCGACGCCGCGACCGTCGAGCGACTCGCCGAGGAGGAATTCTTCTACCAGACGCTGGGAACAATCACGCAATACACCTCCTTCCTCGTTTTCTTCCAGCGTCAGATGGACGAGCACGGCTGGAAGGAGACGGTGAACAAGTACGTCTTCTCGCGCAACAAAGTAGCCGAGAAGATGCTCGCCCGGCTCTACGAGGGCGCCTATTATCCCATTATACACCTAGGGCTGGGTATCGAATTCCAGCAGCCCAGCATCATCGCCGAGGCCCTCGCGCAGGCGGCTGCCCATGACGACAGCCACATCAGCACACTTTTCGAGACGTGTGAGGCACAGGCGGGGATTGCATACCCGCCCCAGAGCCCTAAGTCGCTCATCCAGCTCCTCCACGAGACCCGCGCCAATGATACCATCCGGACCGCTCCGCGCTGGGAGGACTTTGGGAACAAGATGCGCGATGGCGTCGTCGGTCGCGCAAATCTGGAAATGGCCTCCATTGCCTCCCAGTTTATCATCAAGCCCGAGGACTTAGAGGGTCGCACCGCTGAGATGATTAGCGTGTGCGCGTATATGGCCGGAGCGAGCCAGCGTCCGGACCGAAAGAGGAAGATCGACTTCTTCTACATGCACACGCTCACCAGCTCGATCTTCTTCAGTGTTCTGATCAAGCAGCAGTGGATCAAGATCGAGGACCGCGTGCGGCTGGTCGAGTGGAAGGGGAGGCTGGATCTGGCCTGGTGTGTTGTGAGTGGGTCGGCGGAGCTGTATGAAGATGCGGTGACGGGGTACCACGATGATTTCAGTGCGGAGATGGGGTGGAAGGAGCTATATGCTGCCGTAAATAAGGAGCACGACGATGGACATGTGGCTAAGATGATCCGCGCGTTGAAGAATGGACAGGAGGCGTCGCGGTCGTTTGAGGGGGAGTATCCCGATGCGTTTCCCGTCAAAGGTAACATGTGGTTGAAGATTGCACGCATGGCGCTAAATACCACCAAGGAATGGCCGACTGATCAAAAGTTTGTGAACTTTACAGGTTTTGATATGGGGTGGAAAATTCGCCCTGATCTCGCTTAGCCCACTCAATCAAGTGCTGTCCAAGTTGGGTACTATTTGAGCATGTAGGCGTAATCTTAAGATCAGTTTCACTCTCTTCACATGTTTACATTATTCTAGCTTTGAGCTATGAAGGCTATACAAAACAATGGCTCTATATATCGCTAACCAGGACCAGTAGAAGGCAAATATGCATGTAGGAAGGGAAAGAAATGCCTCGCCAAGCCAGTCGCAAGACTATAAAGGCGTGCCCGAAGGGAACTTGGCCGACCCATTCGTATTCACCACACTAACGTTCTTCATATCATATTTGCCCTCCTGGTCATCAGCCGCTTCAATCATCCCCGCGGCCAAATCCAGATACGAAACGAACGACTCATCATGGTCGAGATTCAGCTCATGGCCCCGTTGCGCATCAAGCGCCAAGCCACCCGGCTTGACGAAAATCATCGGCACCAAATCCTGTTGCTGCCGAAGGTAGACTTCTGTTCGGCGCAGGTCCTCGTAAACATGTGAGGCTGCGGTGCGCAGGATGGGACGGAACCACCAAGGCATGTGCCGGCTCAGATGGTCGTCGATTGTCCCAGAGGACAGGAGGAGGGTTTTGGGGAGTGGTGCGCTGATCTGACCATGAAATTTTAGCTTCTCAATCGCTGCAATGATGCTCTTGGCCGTGTCCACACCGACATGGCAGCCGGGCACGTTGTCGTTCGTCGTCACCACGTGGAAGATGGCGCGGGTGCCGCGGATGCATTCGGTCAGGAGATCGATATCGTAAATGCTCCCTTCGTAGACGTTCACGCGCTTATTATTGGTGACCGTGGGGACCTTTTGGATCAGTTTGGTCTTACTGCGGCAGTAGGCATTAACTTTCGCATCATCGGTGCGCAGGAGGTTGTCAATGAGAGCAGTGCCACAATTTCCTGTGGCACCGAGGATAGCGTAGGTGGACATGTTGAACAGAAGGACTATCGATTGATCAGTACGTTTTCTTTGTTTCTGTTCGACAGGTCCTTAATTTTATCAATCATATTTTTTTTCTTTCCCGACTATGCCATTCGGGTTTCGGACATTTGTGCTAAGTATGAGAATCGTCGGGACATAGCAGGTCACGGGGTGGAGGAACAGGCGTTCGGGTAGTAGCTTGTCCGATTCTTTGTTATACTTATACTCGCGTCATTTATCTGGGCCAAATCCAGAAAAGGGGGCCAGTCTGAATGCGCCGCGGGTAGTAGAATGTCCGAGCATGTTTTGCCCAACAATGAGTAGTTATTGAGAGCCGGGGGTTAGCATGTCCGCCGGCTGTCTAGTGGGGTGACCTTTCTCACTGTAATTGGCTGGATGCTCCCATAGATCCAAACTTGACGGCGCCACAGATCCACCCGTACCACATTGTGGCAAAGTCAATTGCTGTATACCTACATCCATGGACGTCAGTGACCTGTGTAACTGACTCAAGTCTGAACTCCCACACTACATTTTAGAACGTGGCTGCCTGCAAACACTTTCTATAAAGACAGATGGCCAGTACGGCTTTACATCCTCATCAATCACCGAACCCACAGTCTTACTTACTACACCACTATATCAACTCACTCCAATCAAGCTTGCCTAACTTGAAGCATGTCCATCCGAGCTCTCAACCAGAACTTTCCCTCCTTGAACTTTGCTGCCAATGCGGAAGAACAGGGCCCATCTCACCCTTTCCTTTCTCCTCACGGTGAAGGCGACCAACCTTATCCCAACCCGTGGTCTTTCCAGTCTGGAAACGGTCAAGCCGGCCGCCCAGGCCATCCCTACAAGTTTCCGTGGGCCCAGGCCGGCGACGAAGACAAGGGCAACGAACCTAACAACGAAACCGGTAATACCTCCGCTTCTCGCAAGCCATACCCATACCCAGGTCCCGCGGAAGGTCATCCACTGTACACCTTCCCCGGCGCCTCTGAAAGCTGTAAACCATACCCCTTCCCGGGCTACGCTCAACAGCCGCGCACCTACCCGGGCCCTCTTCCATGGCACCAGCCGCACGCCTATCGCAGCCTTGCGGAGGGTAGGAAACCATACCCTTCCCTTTGGGATGGGGGACCGATTGCTGTTGCTGCCGGGGAGAATTGAGTGTTGTCAATCTATGTTTGTTCACTACAAAATGGTATATCGTTCTACAATTGCGTATTGGGAAAATATTTTCGGATATAGCTGTAAGTCAATGTACCTACAATAGCTTACATTTGTGAGAAGACACTATGTAAGGAAAGACTAAAATTTCGTTCGATAAATATGTGAGTCACAATATAGATGAATTGAGATATAAACAGGCCAACTTTGATTGAGATGGACTCTTGGCTTCCTGGTGAGATGGTCTTCTTATCTAACAAAGAAAATAAACGAGTAACAAAGCTACATAGTCAAGAACATCGCCCACTCAAAAAGATACAGCCCCGAGGGTAACCGATGCTTGATCTATTGGGCCTGAAAGAATGAAGCCTGTATACTATGAAGCTTTCCATAGAGCACACGGAAAATGTACTAGTTCTTGTCTCAACACATTCAAGAAATATATACATCTCCGCTCAAGCCTCCTCCTTCCCCATGATATAAGCTTCCAACTTGAGCAGAAAGTGCTTCATAAACACCCCGTCCAACATCTCCTCAATCCGATTCACGTACTCGCCACTCTCATCGAACCACACGAAACAGGCATGTTCATTCTTGTATGGCCCAAACGGAGAATCCGCAGTTGTAATTGCATACATCACCGCTTTGCTTTGAGCAGGGTCATGGATCACATTGTGCACGGTGAGCTACACAGGTTAACCGTCTGTGTGTCAGTGGGTAATTCATGACAAGAAGGTACCTCACAGTTCGTCAAGATGGACATGAGCTTCAGAAACAGCTCCTCAGTAATTGCACGAGTGCGAGGTGCTACCCCAGAGCTGAAGGGGAGAGTCACTTGGGCGCAATCTTCGGACCAGCTGGCCAGGAACCCATCTGGGGTCCAGCCCTTCCAGCCTTCGATGAATTTGTTTAGCGTTGCTGTTTGCTTTTCGGCGGGGGCAGGCATGGTGGCTGTTGTACTGAATGGAATACCTTGAGTAGGTGAGTTAAGTGGAGAGAACGTAGGGAATATAGCAAAAAGGTCTTAGGCCCATGTTGTCGGGATATTCAATTTGTACCGCCCTATTGAAAGAACATGGAATGTTGCGACGGACACACTCCTCCCATGGCACGACCCCTTCGCACCGACCTCTCCCGGTATGACAACCCGCGCAAGATCGGCGCGCGCGGTCTAGTGGCTCGGTTGTTTTGTGCTGCCTTTAAACATGGCGTCGAAGTGTATCACTAATTGCAACATTCTATAGTCAGGTTTGTTGCTGAAAGAAGGCAAGTATAAGCACGTGGATACCTTCGTCTATATTGGGAACCGTAGATGGAACAGACAAAGGCCTGTTGTTGGGCGTGGTTTGATCCTTGGTGGCGTTCTAGATGCTCCTTGCGCCGGTACCTTGCATTGCAGCCAGGAAACCGACACCGGATCGCGCCGTTCACGACAGGATCCGAGAGATTCTGAAAGAACTTGATTTCGCTGCCGAACTTTTTAATCAGTAAAACTGGCTCTAGCAACCAGCGCTCCTTCAGAAATGACCTGGCAAAAGGGGAGGAGTGGGGCCTGCTGAGGTTTGCGCCTTGGCCTCCCACCGGCCTCCCACCGGCCTCCCACTGCTTCTGAGCTTAGAGAGTAACCTGGGACCCACTTCGAGGCGGAATTTTGCAAAGGGCACACAGTTTTACTCAGAGCGATGCCGACGGGCGGCAAGAGGTTGTTAGTAATTCTGCAACTTACGACTTGCTGGAACCCGTATCCCCTTCCTAGGATTTCTAATTACCGAGATTATGGAAGGGATTACCTGAAAAGAAGCCGGGTATAAGTATGTAGTAAAAGCCTGAAGAGTCAATGTAAACTATATCACGTACCTCAAACCATGACTCCTTCCATCCTCATCGCCGGCGCCACCGGCAATACCGGCCGAGCCGTCGTTCAAACATTGCCAACTTTGCTTCAATCCAGCAGCACCTTATCCGGGTACCGCGTTATTGCTCTCACTCGCACTTCGAGCAGTCCGGTAGCACGCGAGCTTGCTAAACTGCCCGGAGTTGAAGTGATCGAGCAGAACTGGGTTGAGATCACCGCCGACTGGCTCCGCGAACACCAAGTTGCTAGAGCGTTCATTGCATCCCAACCCGAGCCCAACCAATTTGCCCAAGAGTCGACCTTCCACCTCAATGCCCTCAACGCCGGCGTCAAGTATGTCGTGCGCATCTCAACTACGGCTGCAAATGTCCGCCCGGACTGCCCTGCCTACTATCCACGCCAGCACTGGGCCATCGAGGCTCTCCTCGGCTCACCCGAGTTCGACAACTTGCAGTGGACCTCTCTTCAACCGAACATCTTCTCAACATTCATTATGTCCCCTGCTGCGGAATTCATCAAGAAGTACCGCAAGACTGGAGAGCAGGATACACTTCGGTTGCTGCTGTCAGAGGACGCACCCATCGGCATTATTGACTCCGACGAGGTTGGTGTTATTGCAGCTCATCTCTTATCCCAGGATGACACTTCCGCACATAACAAGTCCAAATACGTTTTGAATGGACCCGAGGACATCACTGGAATGCGAATTGTTGCAATGGTTGAACAGCACATTGATACGCCCGTCAAAGATGTTAGCTTCAAGGACCTCTCGTTCATCGACATGGTGTATGAGGACAAGTATGCTGCAACCAAGCAATCGAAGAACGTCATCTACTCAATCAAGCAGGCCGCCGGGCCAGCGTGGGAAGGGAAATGCTCGACTTCTACGACCAGCAAGGAGATCCTGAAGCTTTATGCTCCAAAGCGCACACCTGCTGATACCTTGAAGGCTTTACTTGAGGGTTAAGGATGTAACGGGTCGGACCCGCTTCTCACTATGTGGTCTTGCCGCATAAGCTTTTCGTTCCACCACCGCTCCACTTGCCCGTATTTCTACCGTGTTCAGCTTTTTCAACTCCTCTTCTTCAAGCTTTTTGTAAACAGCATGTTGGCCTAGTCAGTATTGAATCGGTTTGGCTTCAGCCCTTCACAAACCATAGGTTGAAAAATAGTGATCTAGAGGGTGAAACAACTTGCTTATATTGGGAAAATAGGAAATCTATTTGACTTATAAGCAAGGGAATTAATAATCGAAGATATAAGTTCCAGCCAAAATAATAACCCTTTAGTATAGGACTGTGAGTAGTAGACTGCAATTGGGGACTTAGAACCTCTTCGCGCAAGGCACATTGCTTAATAAAGTTTCTGTGCTTCGATAATGTACGCCCTTAATAGAGCTATGGACCAATTGAAAAATAACCCTTCTTCTCATTATCCAGTGAACTGGTAGAAGCATAAATGTTTTGTTCAAGAGTAATAGGGTGTTAAATCTTTGCCAGCTATCGCGCCAGCAAGTTGCAACCGTCAACCGTCACTTCCAAAGACAGCACCCTCCCAGTTAGCCATCAATCAGACCAGCCGCTCTATTTCCAGAATTTCCTGAAAGCACAGGACTGACAAGGTCACGGGAACGTGGCCAACCTGATGCGGCCCACATGGGGTGTTACTACGCATCTGGTAATGACCTATGAGGTGTAGCTTCATTGACTAGGTCTTGTCTTTGTCCTGCGAAAGCGTGGCCGTAGAAGTCAGTCGTGAATTCCTACTGTAACCTATTCCGAATGCTCTGCATGAGATTTTCTGCCTGTATTCGCAAGCTCACCTATGCGTTTAGACCCGTCACACGTCCTAGGCGGCGGTCAGAAAGGATGGGCGCATGCGGGGATACCATTGAGGAAGTGTGGCTGACGCATCATGCAGGATGACTATAGTTAGGCATTAGTGATCCATACGTCGGTGTAAAAGGCCGGTCAAACAGGCGGCGAGATAACGAATAGATTCCGAAACAGAGTCGGTCCGGTGTGTCCAGACTGAATCTTCAGACTAATAAGGCCTTAGCCTTCGTCTCAATAGCGAATCGATACTATCGGCTTGTCATCTGCGGCGTAATCTCATCGGCGTGCTCCATGCCTCCTGAAGTGGTGGATTTCTTACACATGGCCTCTAGCTGCGGACCGGTACTGATTAGTATTTAACAGGAATTGCCTCTATCAGCTATGAATTACCAAGGATTTACCAGCCAATGATAGCAACGGAATCAAAAAAAGGGCAAATGCAAACAATGGAATGAAAGGAGTGTTGATTCTGTTTAACTAGACTACTGAACTGCATGGGGGTTGAAATACCCATGAGAATACCAATGACTCGGTTACTAACCCGAGGGGTCTAGATATAGCAAGAATACATGTAAATCAAAGAGGGGTATATTGAGGCGTTGCAGATATTAGTTGTATCTGACAAGTCAACATAGTGCTAGTATCCATTATTCCTGACAGTATTCTATATAGATCTGGACGAGGTTCAGGAGAGCAGGAGAATCGCCCACGGTTAATCTGACTTCACGTGGCTTCGCCTGGGCCGAGGACTCGGTATCTTTCAACTTACTAGTTGTGCTAACAATTTCGTGCTCGAGGCATTTAGATAGCGAAAAGAGAGAAGAGAAGCTTGTTAAGAGGGGCGGAAGGCACTGCATGTGACCTGCAGACTCCAGGAAGCCTAGTATGGAGTCATGGTCGTCTAACCAGTCTCTTTCACTCAGAGCCTACTTTGTAAGATAGCTCATGCTTTAGTAACTCTTTACTCCGAAGGATGATTATAAACCTGCCATGCGGCTTTCACCTTTCTCCCACCGGCCTCCCACAGTCCCACCGGCCTCCATCGCCACCATCGGCACTCCACTCAGCTGTGAAGTTACTGGTGATAACGCGAATAATTGCTTGTATTCCACAACAGCCTTAATAATACGCAGCTCAAATAATTGATAGGGTCTTTATAGCATTGTCAGTTGTAAGGTCTTGTATTCCGCTCTTGTTCTAGGAAGCAGGTATCGGCTGCTACTTCATAGTCTTGTATATCTTCAAGGTTAACGTGTTGGAAATGCTTTAGCTTTTACATAGGGCGTTGATGAACAATTCGAACCCTAACTTACAATGTTCGAGCTAGATAGATTAGTGATCCGACAATAGTAGTGCTTGGAAATGTCATGGTCACTGGATTGCTTCCTAATTGGTATTAAGCCATATTGGAGGAGCGAGCCCACACAGCCCTTTGTATAGCAGCCACTAATCCTGCTGAGATCATCCCTCTGCGGAGATCGGAAGGGAAAGTCTCCCCAGTCATAAAGGAGACCAGCAAAACCAGCCCCTCCACTATTATTCAATCCATCAAAATAGACCTCATGTATTGTGCATCAGTGCGTGTCACGGCAGCGGAGATTAATGTGTCTGTCTTGAAGATCAACATTCTTATTAATAACACAGGCATTATGGGCGTCAATTTTTATCTGACTGCTCAAAACATGGAAAGCCATCTGGGTGCGAATCATATTGGTCATTTCCTGCTCACTAACCTCCTTGTTCTGAAACTTGAAGCTTCTGGTGATGGCACTCGGATCATGAATGTATCCAGTGCTATATCTATGTACTAGCTTAGCCCATTTATGTTTGACAACTGCAACTTCTCCAACAGCAAGGCCTACAACAATTGGATAGCTTAGGAACAGTCCAAGACAGCAAACATTTTATTCGCTGTTGTATTGGCCAGAAAACTGGAGAAGAATAAAGTAAAGTCCTATTCATTGTACCCGGGATTCATACAGACAATGGGTCTATCCGCAGTAGATCCAGCGGCATGGCCAATTGTGGGTTCCATATTTAGAAGTAAGAAGCTGGAGTTGCCGAAGGAAAAGAATATTGAGCAGGGCTGCGCAACTATCCTTGCAGCGGCACTAGACCCTGTGCCTGACAGTAAACACAATTAAAGGGTGAATGGAGAACTTGAGAAGAATAATCTTGTATCTACCCTAGTAGATTTAGATGTATCAATAATAGAATTGTCAAATTTGTGTACAATCCAGCATCTTTTGGTCTTGTATCCTATAGGAACATGGTCAAGTGAACGGGATGATTGAATACGCATATTGACCCTTCAAAGTGCTGGTTTTACCTATAAAAGTTCGGCTTGGACCATTGCCTCAATCGTGACGAGCCGTGCACTGAACAGCGGAAAGCGGAAATTATGGAGGAGGAATTCAGTCATGCCATATTGAGTTGCCCTTCGGCTTCACTTTTGTATACTGTTGATCATATATTCCTTTTCCATTCAAGCCAAATTCACTATATAAGCTTAATGCACCAATGACTCCCCACCAGAACACCCAAACCTCCAGCCAGGGCCGTGACAGGCGGGTTTACCATCATATACTACGAGTCCAAGTACCTCGAAAAACCAAATGATAATAGTTCTCATGCAAGAATACAAACATCGCCTTGGCGAGACTCAAGATGTATATAGGCCGACAAGACCAGTCCCGATCGCAGGAAAAAAGCAAGTGACTGCTGATGGATACAGCACGATCTGTGGTGGAGGCAAGCGGGAACATCGACATGGCTGCCCACACGCCGATTTTGTAAGCAGCAGGACCTCTCTCCAGGACAAGACAGATGATTTCAACGTGGTTGCTGTGCCATAAACTGACCTCCGACATTAGCATTCTGGCTGTTTTACCTCTTGCAGCACTATTCATCCTGTTTAATTTCGTCATCCACAACCCAACTCATCCAGAAACGCGCAACAACCTCTCCCTGTTGGACGTAGCGGTGGCCATTTCAGTCTGTTCGATTACAAGTCCGGAGGGTTCATACCCGCGTCACTTTTAACCGAGTTTGCTCATATCGCACGGCAGTGTGTCAAGGGTTTTAGCACTAAACAGCAGCAACAGCAACAACAACAAGAAGAAGAACACTGTCAACTAGGCTCTTCAAACACCGAATCCACATTGGCTGCAGAGGTATGCCACTGTCCTGGATCGTATAACAACACTCGTCCCTTTTCTAACTTTAACGAGGTTTCCACGCAGTTAAATCAGGCCAACAGCCATAGCAATGATAACAATCTTGGGTTCCAAGATGATATCATGGAGTCCTGGGAACCAAGTGACTATCTGTACTATCCCGTAATGGCGGACACCACTGTGCTTGGCGGCGCGCCTGAGAATCTGACGACAGCTTCCTTGAATATTCAGAGCTTGTTTGGGTTTGTGGTTCCGGAATTTGGACATGGTTAGCAGAGATAGAAATTATCAACATGAATTGTTTGTGATTCTCCTATCAGAAAGTAGCCTATTATCGAAAGACTGTAAAAAAAAGGTTAGAAATTGCTAACATCAAATTTACACTCGAGTCAACCAGAATAAGACACAATGCGCATCTAGAATATCTCCGTAACATATCGCTCCTGCGGCAACGCCCCTAGCATATTCTTCAACGCGGTCTGGACCCCCTTGGCCAGATTCCCCGAACCGCAGACATAAACTTTCGCATTCCGAGCCCAGAGATCTTGGATTGCTTCGGCTTCTGCCACCAACCGGTGTTGCACATACCGGCATCCCTTGGCCAGGTCGTGGTCCGGGGCTTTACTGTACGCTCTGTGAACCTCGACCACGCCAGCAGATTCAAACTCGGATAATTCCTTTTGGTAAAGATCATCCAAGTGGGGACCTCGACAGCCGAAGAACAGCAGCGCCTTTGCAAGTGGTGTGCCCTGCTGTAGCCTGACCATGCGGTCTTGGATAAAGCTAAGGAAGGGAGCGAGACCGCTCCCGGCGCAGATCATGATAATGGGTGTGCTGGACTGGTCTATCGGGAGATGGAAAGCGTCTTTGGCGGGTCGCGGCGATATATAGAGAATGGACCCTAATGTGAGCGAGGCAAGGTAGTTTGATCCGACACCCAGATACTGTCCATTGCCGCTCCATGCTGGCTCGTTGACTATGGAGAAGGTGAGCGAACCGTGAGAGGGTTTGAATGAGGGGGCCATAGAAAGGGAGTATGTCCGGACGCGCAAAGCCGGGAGCATGGAGATAAATGCCGCGATAGGAAGTGAGATAGAGGGGAATTGTTCAAGCAGATCCAAGACTGAGACACGCTTGTCCCGGACAAGTGAATTGTAGGAATCATGGAAACAGATCAGCTCTTGTTTATCTGCATCAGACAGTGCGGTTGCGGTGAGTACTTTGAGGTTCTGGGGTTACTTCAGTTAGTCTAAGTGCATTGAGTTTGAGTCAAGTTGGAAAAGGTCCTTAAGAACGTACATTCCGCGTTGCCGGTTGGGACAGCTCTACATACGAGCTAAACAGCTCGGCCGCCAACACAGGTGTGGCGTGGGGTACACCAAGCGTGTTCAATGAGTTGATAGTGATGCTGTAATCAGGTGCGAGATCAAAATGAGCTAGGACTCTCGAGACCGTGCCGGGCGGATTGACCGGGAGGATATTAAGATGATCACCTGGGCGCAAAGTAGTTTCGCCCTGGATGCGGAACTCCACATGTCGCTTCTGCGGGGTCCCCGGGCTGGTTAGGATCCGGACGGCAGTCACTTTCGCCTCCACGAAGCCCTGGTGCATGCCCACCCTCCTGGGCTTGCTCAGGCTGATTTGGAGCTGGTGCGGGTTGAGTAGTTCGACGCCGCTGCTGCTGGACTGGAGGAATGTCTCCCGGAGGGCAGGCAGCAGGCTTGTCTCTTCCCATTCTTCAAGGTCCGAGAAGAGATCACTAATAGCAGCGTTGGCTGCGCCTCGCGCTGCAAGACGTGTGGCTCCGGCCTTGTACATCAGGTCATCAATCAAGATCGGGACGCGATAGAATGTTTTGGTCCAGTCCTGGTGGCCGCAGCCGAAGACTGCATAGGAGACGCCTTGGAGAGCCGGGACTTTGCCGCTTTCAAGCCAAGCAACAAACTTCTTCGCGTCGTCTGTGGGTTGCCCATCATAGGTGGTTGTTAGAATGATCACCGGCTGATCTTTCGGCAGGGTGTCAACGGCACTGTCAAGCGGGGCAAGCCTCTTGTTGGTAAAGCCACGGGCCATCATGTTCGATGCCAACCGGTGGGCGAGAGCTTTGCAAGTTCCGCTGTTGGAGCCGTAGAAGAAGGAAACCGGCTGCCCTCCTGCCGGCTCCTGGCCTTTGCAGTTCCCGGCAAGATGAGTTGACGATGCCGCCGAGCTCCCATCAGCGCTCACCAACATACTTCGCCTGGATAGCCCAGTGGCACTCTGGCCGCGACGCAACGTGGCTCGGACCCGGAAGCCATCGGGCTTGATGGTGAGGGTCTCTTTGATACGGAGTTTGTAGGATGGGTCATCGCCCACCAAGTCAAACGTTTGAAGGACCATGGCAACCACCAGCTGGGCTTCCTGCCAGGCAAAGGCCCTGCCAATGCAGCTGCGTTCGCCGTTGCCAAATGGCTTCCACGAGTTCGGTGGGAGCTTAGAGAAATTCTCTTCCAGCATGCGTTCCGGGCGGAACTCGCCCGCGTCAGGCCCAAAGACGGTTTGGTCACGCAGGCAGACAGGCAGGAGCACGTTGACGGGCTGTCCGGTATTGATTGTCCATTTCCCGCCCAGCACCTCCGGCTTCTTCGGAGTGACGGCGAAGGCTGGGGCTGTCGGCATCAGGCGCAGAGTCTCCTTTAAAATGGCATCGATATATGGAAGCTTTGCGAGATGCTGCACCGTGATCTGGTCCACGCCGACAACATCATCGACTTCGTTCCGGGCCTGCTCCAAGATGTGTGGGTTTTGCAGCAGGTAGTAAAACGTGAACGAGAGCAGGCCGGAGGTAGTCTCATGGCCTGCAATCAAAAAGGTGATGACATTATCAATAATTGAGTCATCGCTCATGCCTTCACCGGTGACTGGGTCCCGCCCATTCAACAGTGTGTTCAAGAGGTCATCGGCCGGCTCCCCTTTATCTCTGCGCCCTTGGATAATTTGGCGGGCTATGCTCCTCATTGCGTCGATGTTCTTAGACATGCGCTGCTGGGCCTTGATACGTATGGAGTTCACAATCCCGGGAAGCATGGCTTGGACATCGGCTTCCCTCAGCACGTGCAGCATGAATTGAACAAATGGGTGCATAGTCTCGTTGTTATAAAAGCTGTTCAGCCGGAAACCCATCGTGCACAGGGCGATAGTGTCTAATGTGAGGCGCGTAAAGTCATCCGTGATATTGATACTGATCGAACTCCCTTGGCGGGCCCTGTATCCACAACCAAACAAAACCGCCCAGTCAGCCGTTTTCTACTTCCTATTTTCTTCCTAGAGCCAATATTCAGGAATCCCTACCACTTGTAACATAACTGTTGCGCTATATCACTCATGTCCTCGAACATGTTCCGGATACGTAGCGGGCCAAAGGCAGGCATCAGAATGCGATGAGCAATGCCCCAGCCACGCTCTCCGTGGTAGGCTGTAAAGAGGCCGTCGTTGGCCAGCATTCGTAAGTTCTGGACTCCAGCAACAACGGCCTTGTGGAAACGGGTTTCATCGCAGAGCTCATCGACCAGGGCCTGGCTGGTCGCAAAGATCTGCTTTTCGCCGTTGATAGTGATTTGAAAGAGGGGTCCTGGGATAAATGATTAGTGATGGTGGTTTTCTCTTTTGCATCAGACAGGATAGCGAAGCGTACCGAAATTGTTGGCTATTTCGATAATGGATTCTAGGCCATGCTCGAGGTCGATGTCGAATAGATTTCCCACCACCGGCAGGGCTGAATAAACTGCCAGTCAGTAAAAAAACAGCAACAACGTCGTTTCGGATGATAGTGCTGGTTCTAGGCTTACGTTTGGGTCCGGGAATCCGTTCCGTGTCTTTCATGGCTTTCTGCGCGATAGTAACTATCTGCTTCGGAAATATTATTGACTTGGCGAATTAATGGATAGAGTAAAGTTTTGAATGGGTGTTGCCCCTACTTATACACCGCCGTGCCTTCCAGCAACATAGCATAGCCTCGTAGAATGAACTACTCATGACTTCATTTGTCCACAGACACCGAAGAGGAGCGCTATCATTGTGTGTCTAGGTACTTCTCGGGGCTCGGTGTTCGTTGACCCGTATGAAACATCTTTTCAAACACTCCCTCGGTGGGGTCCTCACCGAGACGAGTGATCTGCATCCATCGTAGTGAGGCGCAATTGTTCTCCACGTCTCTCCCGGAACCAAAAACCTTAGTTAATTTCCCCGGAGCTGACATCCATAATAGTTATCCTAGAACAACTTTCGACATTCAACTTGATAGGGGAAATAGTGCCTTGCATTGGTCTATTAAACATCTCCTACACTGAATGAGGTCGTCTCGTTCCCCACAGCCGCATTGTTGAAGATAGAAAATATATATATATATATATATATATATAAAAGAAATAGAATCAAGATCAATCTCTCGGAACGGAGGAATGTACGCGAGACTTCCCGGTCACATCACTGGGTAACCAATTCACTGTCCTCCGAAGCGCATTAGGTTGCTTGCTTCTTCCTCGGTCCTATCAACAGTCTCCGAAATGCCCTCCACCTCTCTCTGCAGCTGCTGGGTCAATCGCACTCCTCTCCAGTAATGCTTCTCTCGCCTCAACTCCACCCGAATCCAGATCACCATCACCACGGCCCAGATCCCTGCCCAAATAGCAGGTACTGTCCAGCCAAGCTGCAAAAAGTCAGTATCTCGCCATGATATCACACCTTCGGACGTCAGAACGCATACCGTGTAAGCCAGCTCATGATCAGTAATCACAATCCCCGCCAATGTCCCCCCCGCCACCAGCATTTGAGGAATCACCCATAGCATAGTCAATCGGTGTAGCATGCCGCGAAAGGGAGGGCTGGCCTTGTACCGCTGATCCAGACGGGCCCGGAACCCGGTTCCTCCTTTGCCGTCCACCGCGACAATATCTTCTAGAAACGGATAGAGAGCGGGACGCGTTAGGTCGCCTTTCGGAACAGAGGAGATGCGGAATAAGGTAGGCCTCTTGAAGATATACAGGGCTTCGAAAATCAGCACCTCGATAGCAAAAATGAAGAAGAGCGAAGGCACCGGCATGGCGAGCATGCGCATCCAGGGTGGATCGGGTATAGTTCCGACGACAAGTTCGGCGATGATGATGACCCAGGAGACGAGGACGTTCCAGTGGGTGAAATCAAACTACAGAGATTGAATTAGAGGAATTGTCACTGGAGGGGTATAAGGGAGTGTAAATTGTTGGGCAAGGATTCACATAGTAGCGGCCTGCATTGGGAACGCGACAGCTAGAATTCTTCCGCCATAGACTCCACGATCTCTGTAATGACTCCGTAACAAATGTTCCGAACAAGGTCATGGTTATTATACTGAAGACTGCAGAAGGAAACGGTTGGTTAGATCTTAACAGAGCAAAGTCTCAATGTTAGCGTACTAGTCGTGGTGGACCATGTTGTACATCTGGTCAGGAGGTAGTAGAGCCCGATGGGAAAGACAACCGAGTCCAAAAACACCAGCAGCCAAAAGACCAGGATGCGGAATTTCCGTTTTGCCAAGCTGTAGTTTAACGGTAGAGGCTCTAAGAACTGCTGGGTATCCGACATCTTGTTTTTTTGCGGGTAAATGCATAGCAGAGGAAGGGAAAAACCAGAAGAACAGAAACAGAGAAAGTACTATTGTACTGCGACTGTTCTACGGGGACGGTGCATTCATCATCTCCCCCGTACCTGCAGGATTTACTCTGCCGCGTCATCCCTTGAAGATGCTTGAGGTTTGAGATAGGGTTTCAGTCAACAACGTTCCTGGGAGGCCTTGAGTGAGGCGAAGCAATCCGTCCTTTTTTTGTTTCACCGAACACCGAGCAATATCTGACCTGCACTTCCCGAAGACCGAATCTCTATTCCTTGATGATGCCACGGAAGAGGAAATCATTCTAGAAGGTCGATCATCAAAACAGGGGCGAGTGGTTCGAGTATTAAATTCCGTCGGTGCGCCGAAGGCATGTTAAGAGAAAAATAAACGAAAAAGCAAGTCTCAACAAGGCTTCCTGTTCTTGAACTGAGATCTTGCAAGGAAACCATAGCAAAGAGCACTCTTTCAACAAACCACCCTAGCACCATGGACACCGAGTTCCCCTGGGAGTCCAAACGCGACAGTAAAGAAGAACAAGAAACAGAGCACAATGATGTCGACCGAACGATTCACAGATTGGCAAGCCGCATCTCAAGAAGCACCGTGGTCACGGAATTGGCTGAACCTTACAACGATATTTTCCATCCCCTCCCCGGCTCGAAGCTTGACCCTCAGTCCTCCAGCTTCGACACTCGGGCTTGGGTGAAAGCGCTCGTTCAATATGAGAGCGAAGATCTCGAATCAGGGCGACGCCGGAAGTCCGGCGTATCCTTTCGCAATCTCGATGTTTACGGCTTCGGCATGTCCACCGACTATCAAAAGACCGTGGGAAACAGTATCCTCTCACTACTGATGCAGCGTCGCAAACGAGGGGTCGATATCCTCCGCGGCTTCGAGGGGCTAGTCAATGCCGGCGAGATGCTTTTGGTTCTTGGACCTCCAGGCTCGGGGTGTTCGACCTTGTTAAAGACAATTGCTGGGCACATGGAAGGGTTATTTTTGGGCGACAAGGCCATGATGAATTATCGAGGTATGTATGGCAGCGTTCTAGTCCATTTGCGCTAGAATCTTAAAACCTTGCTTTGTTACTTATTTGTGACTAGGCGTCTCCAGCAAAGAAATGCACAGTTACTTCCGAGGAGAGGCCATTTTTGCTGGCGAGAATGATGTACATTTCCCGATGCTGTCGGTGGGAGACACGCTCTCGTTCGCAGCTCGTGCCAGAGCACCGCGACAGTTGCCGGCTGGGCTAAAGGCGCAGGAATACTCCATGCTCCTGCGGGACGTCATTATGGCCATTTTCAGTATCTCGCATACGGCGAACACAGTGGTCGGGAATGACTTCATTCGGGGAATTAGTGGAGGAGAACGGAAACGGGTGAGCATTGCCGAAGCAGCACTGAGCGATGCCGCGTTGCAATGTTGGGACAACAGTACGCGCGGGCTGGACAGCGCCAATGCAGTCGAATTCTGCAGAACGCTTCGTACAGCCACCGAACTTCTACAATCATCTGTCCTGGTCTCCCTCTATCAAGCGCCTCAGGAGGCATATGAGGTAGGCGTTTCCACATCCTCCCCCCCCCCCCAAACTCCTCTTTTTTCTCCCCTACTCTTCGTATCAGTGAGAAACATCTTGGCTCACCATATGAGCATGCGAAAGCTTTTCAACAACGTCACACTGCTGTATGAAGGACGGCAAATCTTCTTTGGACCGACATCTGAAGCACGCGTGTATTTCGAAGAGTTGGGTTTTGAGTGTAAGGTTCCACGGTGTCTTGACCCCATGTCCTGCTTGCAGTTCCTAACGCGAATAATATCTAGGCCCCGAGCAACAGACGACACCGGACTTCCTCACCTCAATGACCAGCCCGAAGGAACGTCGCGTGCGACCAGGGTTTGAAAATAAAGTCCCGCGCACAGCAATGGAGTTTGAGGAAAGATGGAAGACAAGCCATCAGCACCAGCAGCTGATGCTTGGCATTGAGGCGTACGAAAGCAAATTCAACCTGGGAGGCGAATCTCGGGACGACTTCATGGCCTCGCGCAGAGCCCAGCAAGCGAGTGGCCAAAGAAGGAAATCCCCATATACGCTGTCGTACATGCAACAAACGTCTTTGTGTCTCTGGCGCGGTTGGAAGCGCCTGCTTTCGGACCCCTCACTAACGTATATCCAGCTTGGAGGCAATACCATCATGGCTCTGGTCTTGGGAAGCATCTTCTTCAATCTGCACGACGACACAAACAGCTTCTACGGCCGAGGAGGGTTGATCTTCTTTGCTCTCCTTCTAAGCGCCTTTGCCAGTGTTCTCGAGGTAACAACCAACCGATTTACCACTTCATACAACTCTAACCATCTCCAGATCTTGACGCTATACGAGCAACGGCCGATTGTGGAGAAACACAAACAATTTGCTCTCTACCACCCATCTGCAGAGGCTCTCGCCAGCATGCTGACCGATATCCCATATAAATTGCTCAATACCTTTTGCTTTAATCTAACATTGTATCTCATGGCAAACCTACGGCGAGAGGCCGGGGCCGTGTTCTTTTTCCTTTTTGTGGCTTTTCTCAGCACAATGGTGACATCCAGTCTGTTTCGGACGATTGCATCCGTGTCGCGTACCATGTCGCAGGCGCTGGTGCCAGCCGCTTTACTGGTCCTGGGTTTGATCATGTACACTGGCTTCACGATGCCAACCATGTACATGCCTGGATGGTCGCGGTGGATGGCTTATGTCAACCCGCTCAGTTACGCCTTCGAGTCTCTGATGATCAATGAATTCCAGAATCGCGAATTCTCGTGCTCGGTCGTCGTCCCCTCAGGGCCAGACTACAGCACCGTCGGCATCGACAACCGGGCTTGTGCGGAGGTCGGAAACACAGTCGGCTCAACCACAATCCAGGGAAACATATACATCAACGATAAGTTCAACTATAACCATTCCAACAAGTGGCGGTAAGCTTTTTCCATCATCATCGTGAGAGCAATTCGGCCTAGTTAGGAAAAGGCCACTGACACTCCACTAGTAACGTGGGAATTTTGATCGCGTTCTGGTTCATCTTCACGGCCACATACCTTGCCGCGACTGAGCTGCTCAGTATGGCTAAGAGTAAGGGTGAAGTTCTCATTTTCCGCCGCGGACATTTTGTCAACAAGAAATCTAGCCGCCGAATGGCAGAGGCTGACGACGAAGAGGCCCTCGGTGCCTCAATGGCCACGATGGCGCGGTCAAATGACACGGAAAAGACGCATGCTCCGCCCCGCGAGGGACAGATCTTCCAATGGCAAGACGTATGCTACGATATCAAGAATAAAGGGGAGTTCCGGCGTATCTTGGACCACGTCGACGGATGGGTGCAACCTGGAACTTTGACCGCCTTGATGGTATGTGTATAGATGCCACTATCAGTTCCAGCGCTTTGATAAGCCTAACAATGTCAATCCCAGGGCGTCTCCGGTGCCGGCAAAACAACCCTCCTCAACGTTCTCGCCAACCGTATGACGACCGGCGTCGTTACCGGTGATATGCTCGTCGACGGCATGCCATGTGATGCTTCCATCCAGCGCAAAACAGGCTACGTGCAGCAGCAGGATGTCCATCTCTCAACGTGCAGTGTGCGAGAGTCACTCGAGTTCAGTGCACTTCTCCGCCAGCCTGCGACTGTGTCGCGGGGGGAGAAGCTCGCATACGTGAAAGAAGTGATCAGCCTCCTTGAGATGGAAGAGTACGCGGACGCCATTGTTGGCATCCCCGGTGAAGGGTTGAACATCGAACAGCGCCGACGTCTCACCATTGGCATTGAACTGGCCGCGAAGCCCGAACTGCTCCTTTTTCTGGACGAACCGACTTCCGGACTGGATTCGCAGACCTCGTGGGCTATTTGCCAACTGCTGAAGCGACTTGCACGTAGTGGCCAGGCGATTCTGTGCACGATCCACCAGCCGTCTGCCATTCTGTTTCAGCAATTCGACAACTTGCTGCTTCTCGCGAAAGGTGGCAAAACTGTGTACTTTGGAGGTTCGTCAGCTGCGCGCCGTCCCTCTTTTTCCAACACAAGATAGCAACCATGCATATACTGACGATGAATATTCTTTTCTTTGCCAGAAATCGGCCAAAACTCGGCCACTCTTACCCAATATCTGGAGTACAATGGAGGAAAGCAGTGTCCTGCTGGTGCCAACCCGGCCGAGTGGATGCTGGAAGTGATCGGCGCGGCGACCGGATCCCAAACCACTGTCGACTGGCCGAAGGTCTGGCGAGACTCGCATGAGTATCAGTCGGTCAAGGCGAAATTGCGCGAAATCCGGACATCGAGGGCCACCATAGGTGGCAAGCTGCAAATGCAGCCATTCAGTCAGTTAAACAACGGCACTTATGCCTCGCCTTTTCTACAGCAGTGGTGGCTCGTTCAGAAACGTGTCGCGGCGCAATACTGGCGAACCCCGTCATATATCTATTCCAAAATCGCCCTTACAGTGGGCTCGGTGTGTACCCTCCAGTAAAGCAAAGCTGCCTTAGAAACCATCTTCAGGTCTAGTATCTAGCTGACGCCCATTCGCAGACTTTATTCATAGGTTTCAGCTTTTACAACGCGCCCAACACCGTCCAAGGGCTCCAGAATCAGATGTACGCCGTGATGATGTTATTGAGTATGTTCGGTCAACTTAGCGAGCAGATAATGCCTCAATTTATCAATCAGCGGGATGTTTACGAGGCGCGCGAGCGACCATCCAAGATATATGATTGGAAAGGTACGGATTGAGATCAATCCTGGAAAGAAACGCTCACACAAACACACCGGACTAACATTTTAAAATAGTCTTGATGCTGAGCAACATTATGATCGAGATCTTCTGGAACACCCTGATGGCCGTGATGGCCTACTTCTGCTGGTACTACCCTATCGGACTATATCAGAACGCCGTTTCGGCGCACGAAGTCACCTCGCGCGGGTGTCTGGTGTTCCTGTA